ATTGTGAAGTCTGTAAACCAACAATGAAGTTTAAATTCTAAGATTTATCAAGGAGAGATCAGGTACTTCGATATTATCAGTTAATTCAGAGGGAAAGTATTTATTAAGTCAAAGAAATATATTATTCGCACCATTGTGTATATTTTCTTTTATAACACTAAAACCCTAAAACATATTCTAAACTAATAAAATGTACCTAAATACAGACAGAGGTATACTTTTGATTCTTTAGTTGCAGAATTTGAGCAGCGGTGACCACTTATCATTGTGTATCTCGATGTACGTTAACGTAGATAAAAAAATAATTAAAGAAAAGGTACATAAAAATGGATTTTGCTTAAAGGGATACATTAATGCAAGGAATAACTGGACAAGCTCGTGTTTACATATAGCTATTGCTAAGAAGTCTAAAAGCTCAATAAACATACATTCTTTGATACCTACATTTCCCGTAGACACGAATAGCCATGATGATCTCATGTCGTTTCACCGTGTACTTTATAGGAGAAATATTTTACATTGACTACAATTAAACAACAATCAAGTTAACAATATAATTGCTAAATACAAACATTACACTAACGGAATGCTAACAAAGGCCTAGCGATACGAGGAGGCTAAAAATACTTAAAAGTATCATGCAACGTTATCTTCGTATGCGTTCCTAGTTTTCTTTTAGTATTTCTACTGCACTGCTGCAGCAGCAGTACGGCATTTTGAGTTCGAGATCGACCTCCCTGACTATCCCTTATACCAGAACTTCCAAAGGATTTGATCCAAAAAACAGGCAAAAGAAGTGGTGGGTTATCAAAAAATCTTTTTAAGTTATTTACGTATGTTTTCCTAGCTGCTACGTCGTAGCGCAGCGTAGATATATATTTTTTTAAATGGTAATACCACTATTTTACTGCCTAACTAACTGCTGCTTAACTAGTATGAGTTCAAGGAAAAATGTTGAGATTAGTAAATTAACATAATTATATTATGTACATCATTTGAATATCAACTGCTGACGACATTGAAACATTCTCTTTGGTCCATTCTAAAGTTCATTCTAGACAGTGCTAAATACTTGTAGGTGCTGTGCTGTATACGAGTATTATCATGCATACGTGTGTCTGACGTAAGTCACATATACTATTAGTTTATGTTTATAAATAAACACTACTATCCATACTATATTTTAAATATGAAAGTGAGTTTGTTTGTTACGCTTTCACGCCTAAACTACTAAACGATTACCAATGGAAAGCTGCATTATCAGGGAGTAACATAGGCTAATTTTTACCGCGATAATCAACATACACGTGGGCGGAGCTGCGGTTGTCAGCGCAATATGTTTGCATAGGACTCTGGCCGGCCGCCCCCGGGGGCAATTACTACTGCTATGCTGAAGGCCATGCCATTAACCATTAGGCCTTTGGTGTAATGGTTAATGAACCTAACTGCGACAAATAACTGTATGATGAGCACGATCAATTGTTCTCTGTCTAGCTGTAATTTATCTGTAAAATGTGTGTATTTAGAAATATTTAGGTCTGTTTATGAATGCAAGAGCCCAAAATCGATTTAAGTACGGTGCAATAGGAGAGGCCTCCAGCAGTGGACTGCGATAGTCTGATGATGATGAACAGTCTGGTTGCCATAGGCACAGGCTATGCCTAGTTTGGGATCAGACGCCATGTATGGGATGTGTGAGGTTATTAATTATTATTATACACAGTCGTGCAACTGGCTGTATGTTCCAATACTCTAAGAAAGTCCAAGAATGCTTTTTGTACACGTTTTATTGCAATTGCGCAATGATGATGACGATGATGATAAAATATGAACAATCGGGCAAAGTTTATTGTATTTAATTACTAGCAGTCTAACTACCGACCATTATAGCATCTGTTTCCGAGTTATGCCAATGCCAGTCATCGTATCTTTTAACAATATTGAAGGGATCTGGTCGACTAGACCTATACGCTACCAACGGCAAGTTTACATGCTAATGATGACGACAGACATAGGTATAGGTGATAACAAATTAATGAACGTAAATTCTCATATTATGCAACAACTACAACTAGTCTACTAATTATTGAGGACAAGTTCAGGGGTCAATGGGTATTGTATTAAGATAAGAAGAAGCCGATTCTCTGTATCCGGGATGACTTTAGACTTCGATCCGAGATATTTGGAATCGTGGATGGAAACATAATTAAGTTTTATTTACTGTTTTTATGTACACGCTTTAAAGTGTGTTAGTCGTGAATTAGGTAAGCAACGTAACTTCAATTCACAAATAATTGTATGATGAGCACGATCATTTGTTCTGTGTGTGTATGTGTAATTTATCTGTAATATGTATGTATTGACTGCACGCTTCCTACTACGCCGAGTGTTGTGGGTTCAAACCCCACATGGGACTACACTCTGTGTGATCCACAAATTGTTGTTCTGAGTCTGGGTGTTCTTTGTGTCCGTTTTATGTATGTTTGTAAAGTGCCCCGCAACACAGGAACTATCGCTAATGCGGGAATTGTCTTTAAAAACAAAAACTTAGAAACAAATATCTGCCTAGTTTGGGATCAGAGGGCCGCGTGTGAGATGTCTGAAGTCATTATCGTTATAGCTTGCATAAAAAAAACATTTTTGAAAGTGAAACACCAGTCGTAACATGACATGTTATTCAATAGTAGGTACATCTAAATATAAATAGGCAAAGGTTTTTTTTTGATATAGTGGTAATCCAACAGACGGGTTACCTAATGGTTTTTTTTTATGGAAGAGGGGGCAGACGAGCATACGGATCACCTGATGGAAAGTGACTACCGCCGCCCATGAACGCCTGTAACTCAGGAGTCACATTCGCGTTGTCGGCATTATAGTTGCGGCTGGTACTAGTCCGAACCATTCCTCGGAGTACTCTCCAGAATTAGTGCAGATGCTCTGTTTAGACAACAACATGAAAATTTTACCTAAGGATGTTCACTAGTGTGAGTAATTTTTTTTATGGTATAAGGGGGCAAACAAGCAGATGGGTCACCTGGTTGTAAGCAACTACCTCCGCCCATGGACATCAGTCAGCGGGGGGATATGGGCTCCGGTAACCTTATTCACTCAATGAAAGGCAACAAAAGAATTGCTTAACACCGGTTTTCTGTGAGGCCGTGGTATCACCTCTCGCATAGCTCTCCCACGGTAAATGGGTTGTATGTATATAGGAAAGAAATTTATTTGGAAATAAGCCATCAGGTAACATTTCGATCTCAGGGCTCGCGGTTACCATTGTCTTAACAGTATCAGATGGGTACAAAGCTATCTGATAGTGTTTCCAATAAGTTCTTACTCATTGAGATATTGGTCTGTTTTTTTTAGATTATTAGCAAGTTTTTGTTTGATATGTTTTAAAAGTAGATTAGTAGTAAGTAGTAATTCAAAAGCAGAACGCAGTTTCAGTCTCCTAGTCCTGTCTCCATAGTCTGACCATCTGCATCGCTACTTAGGCAATCTGTAAAACTTGACAAACGAAAATATGACTCTAAAATCGAAAGCTTTTAGGCAATTTCCATTATATGTTAAATGCATGTTATAATAGATATTACCAAAATTTCTTTACTTAAATTTTACTGCAAATATCAATACTTTTTCACTTCCTTACTTTACTGCTTACTTATTTCACTTTGACGAGAAAACTATATTTTATATTACTCCATGTCTTTAACATTATAAGAGCCTCTAGCGTTATTGGTGCTATACATAATAATATTTGTTATCTAGTTGTTGAGGGATTGTTCGAATTCAAAATGTTTATTGCGAATATAAGGTGAAACAGATGGTACATTTTGTACTTTGTAATAACTAATTAAAAATCAGCCTCTCAAAAGGAGACCTCGAAATTTAATTTCACGCTAGAAATTGTTTTTAATTTTCGACTTTTTGGCGCCACTTGCTCAATTACTTTCTTTAGTCTTTTTTAAGAAAGAAAGAAAGAGAGAAATTACGGCCTAGGGCTACCGCCCTGATCCTATATGTTGTATCTACGAGTGAGTATAGAGCTGTGGTAATCCTACTCAACACAACTGACATCTCTAAGTCATTTTCAGGATATAATACGACTACAAATAGTTACCTTTGTTTTAGAGTTTGGGTCTTTTCTGTGTATAATTTATACGTATTTACAAAAAAGTACATAAGTATTCTATCAGTCAATATAGTTTTCATCGTACATGCTCTGCTTAGTTTGAAATAAGATTGGGTTGTGTGTGAGATGTCCGAAAATATTATTATTATTAATACACGGTGTAGTTTATTTGCAATAAACAAATATGAAAAGAATGTATACGTTTTATTTAAGGTTGATTCCATTTGGCCATTCCTGTTTCCAAAATATTCCACCAACGGAATAAATAAGTACCTGCCAATGCGGAAATTCGATTTCCCTTATACATTGCGTGCAAAGAAGCATGACACTTATCGTTTTAATGCCGAAATTATTTGTATCGCAACATTTTTACTGGTAAGGTTCACTTTGCAGACCACTTAATGTTTTTTAATTTATTCGCAGTCTTATGGTTGTTCGTAAAACGTTAAGGTTCTGCGCATAATCCATAATTTTCATACGCATGCAGAACCCCAACAGTGACATGCAATCAATGTTTCACTTACTGACCCAGAAACACAAAAATAGGCTTTCAAGAATAGGGATAACAAAAGCTATTGTTAATACCTTACAAACTCGTACCAAGTTACTTTATACACGATATAGCAACAAAATATTTTCAATCTATCCCTTTCGTTATCTTTCATTTAGATAGAGACATATAATTAGCGACTTTCATAGAACAGGAAATGTGGTACGGGGTACTTTTGACAAGTACTGACTTGCAATTTCATGATTTCACATAATTAGCTATATAACGATCAGTGTTCGGTTAGCTTCAGTGGAATTTGTACGAATCTTTAATCTGTATTTTTTGAAGAAAATACGCTTAAATGATTTAGCAGTGGATATGAGTGAAACACTGCCACCGCCACTTTCAGCCCGATCAAGAGCACCTATCAACGCAGTTGCTGAAAAATGGTGGGATACATACGGGAGTGAAAATATAACAGAAGATATGAAACCTAACACAAGTTCTGATAATAAGGAGTCGAAGGAAAATAATAGTAAAACTATTGACAACAAATCAACCGATACAAGTACTTTGGAATTACAACGAACAATAACTTCAAAACTCTATGGAAACTTTATGGGTAAATCTATGAAAAATGACGATCCTAAAGTTAAAGTGCTCAAAAAATGGAGGGAAGACCAAGCAAAAGCGAGGTACGAACATGCTAGGCAGGCTGTTATTAATTCACTGAAAGAAAAATTTTGTGTCACACAAGGGTATAGGAATATACCTTCTGTAGCTGATACCAGTAAGGCTGATAATACTAGAGCAATGCCTACCATAATAATAACAGGAGACAATGTCGAAGAAACATCAAATTCGAATGTAAATCGTGACGGTAAGGCACAAAAAGATTTTGTATCTAAATCAAAGGTGGATAAAGTTGAGGTTAGCTGGGCAGGTGTTGAGGATATCAGTCACGCAAGGAGGCTTCAGATGGGGCAAGGTGGTGAGCTGGCACAGTGGAGGCTTGTTCCTCGTGGCAGTAGGGCGGCGGACGCAGAGGACGAACTACGCGGGCTAACGAGGATCGACATGCCGGTATGTAATTAATTATATACGGAAGTAATTTATCTATAATATGTATGTATTTAAAAATATATAAGTATATTTATCAGCGGTCTGGATACCATAGTACAGGCTCTGCTTAGTTTGGAATCAGACTGCTGTGTGTGAAATGTGTGAAGTTATTATTTTTATTATATTTTTTAAAGCAATTTTTTTTTATACTGCTTGATTATTGCAACAACTAGGTACCAATTCTTCTAAAATTTTACTGCACGATAAACTGTATAATTTAAGAAGAGTGTCATTTATATTAGCCTGATGATAAACGTGATGATAAGAATTTTAAAGATCTTTTGCCAACCCAAAAGAATAGATACCAGATTGTTGGATCGAATGTGTAAGGGATATATTAGTTGTTGATTGAAGGCAGTAAACATTTACCGGGTTGTGCGCTATGTGGGGAATAACCTACAGTCATGCCATCACGAAATAATCGGGAACCAAGATCTACCCTGACTTTTTATAAAGGTGGACGGCAGACTTATTGCGATCGGTTCTAAGTGATGTAAGAAATATTTTTATTGTTTTCATTAATGTGATTTAGTTTATAGTTTACTAAAAAATCTATTATTTTTCAACGACTTTGATAGTTAAAGGTGTAAAAAAAAATGTCTCAAATTGTCATCACTTTGAGTGGCATTTAAAATTTTGGGGAACTACAAATGGACACGTTACTAAATAAGCATCAATGCCTGGTCTGTTGGTCTAGTGGTTAGTGACTCTGATTGCTAAGCTGGAGGACGTGGTTTCGATTCCCGCCCAGGTCAAAAAATTGTGCGATGAGCATGATCATTTGTTCTGTCTCTGGATTTAAGTTAATCTATAATGTGTACATATTAAGAAATATATAAGTATGTTCATCAGCAGTCTGATTACCATAGCACAGGCTCCGTGTAGTTTGGACTCAAACGGCCGTGTATGACATGTGTCAAGTAATATTATTAAAAAATAAATGTTATTCTGTCAATATCCATGTAATGACATGGACGAGAATCTTGATGAATACAAAGGACACAATTTATAATAAGTTATGTTTTGGAAATACTAAAAACGCTTTGAAAACGAACTGAACCAAAAAAGTAAAGTAGAATTGTACAATGTTCCTCATCAGACCGTTGGTCTGACCAACGCTATTAAAAGCAATATTTTGGATACAATATACCGAATTATTTGAACAAAAACCAGAGGGGCTAATTAGTAGTTCTATCATTTAATAAGTTCTACTATCTGTCGCAACTCCATCATGAAATACCAAAATAATATAACTCTCCCAATTCAGATGTACACCTCAAACATTTTGGGTTTCAAGACAGGAATTTTTGCCTGAGATTTCCCGAGCGTCATAGCTTGGTGTGTTCGGGGGGTCACTGCTGTTGCTCTTGATGTCCAAGAGTTACAGTTTTGGGCGTGTGGGAGGGATTAGTCCCGTTAATGAACATCTCAATCGCCAAAATCCATCGATCCGTTAGGGCTACGGAGCGTGACAAAGTACGTAACACATAAGTACATAGACTCGAAAAAGTAACCCTCCTTCTGGCCCAAAAATACACTAGACGTTTGTGTTAAGAGTGATTGTTCGTTCATTCAGAGAGGTTCAGTCCGTGTAGTGACGGATTAAGAATACGGAATGTCACTACCCCAATTCATCCCGTGGGTGTCGTAAGAGCCGACTAAGGGCGCAAAACAACGCATGACAACAGCACTGCAAAGAGAAGGAAAACTTGACACAAACCCTATACCAACCCGTCTGGCCAGGGTGATATAGTAGGCCAAAACCTCCTTTCTAAGGAGAGGCCTATGTCCAGCAGTGGACTATTAAAGGTTGTTGATGTGATGATGATGTTCGTTCATTTTCCTGCTTCTCGTGTGCCTCCGTTTGTTGCTTCTTTCAAAAAGAATATATTTTCCCCAATTTTGCAACACTTTTCCAATGAAAAGGTTATTGGTTATTGCATGATGTTATAAAATTTGACTATCGTTGATTTTATGTCTTTGTGTATTTTATTTTGTATATTTAGTATAAGTATAAGTGATTTGGTTGAATACACCGTAAGCTTATATTTTATGAATAAATGAATAAAAACAAGAATATCTTTCCACAATAAAAGGGCTGTCCAACATTAAAATATTTTTTCAATTGGAACCAGTAATTTCGGAAATTACTCCCGAACATCCAAACTTTTAAAGTTTACCTCTTTGAAATTTTACTAGCTTTTGTCCGCGACTACATTCTCGTGTATGTCGGTTATCGCGATAATAAGTAGTTTATAGCACTCAGGGATACTATACCTTTCAAAGAGTGAAAGAATTTTCAAAATCGGATCAGTAGTACCGGAGGTTACCACGAACATACAAACTCATAAACTTTACCTCTATATTAGTATAGATTACAAGATATCGTATGGATATATAGTACAGTATGGCATGTTTTCTCAAAAACAACTATTAATAGGTATCTAAATCCTTGTATGTTGTGCACCCGCTTGATAATTATAATATTTTAGGACGATTAACACCTAATTATTTTTCTATCTGTAATTTTATTAATGACTTTTTATTATCAGTGTGACCATGTATTCTATATTTTATTTATTTAACATTTAAAAGGTATATAACATAACATTCTTTTTAAAGGTACTGCAAAACCACTAACTATTGTACTTTTAGTTCATATCCAGATACGTAGTTAATACAAAAAGTGTTAAAGTTCACGTGTCAAAAGACGTTCATAATTAAAATTATTTGGAGCAAAAAGTAATACTAGGTTAAGATAGTTTAGCATACAAGAGTAGATTCAACACTCCTGGAGAACCAGATACCCCATTTAGACTCAAGAATGGTCCTATATGCGTCGAGGAAAGGTTGGCTACGTGAGCCAACCAAGTTCCTTCTAGAAGCGCAGAAGCCTCCTGGGGCCTTCACAGGCTTCTAGGAGCGATTTTGTATCAGGTGTGATACTTGCTCGATGTGTGACCCTCGTATTTCAGGTTTATGTGGGCGGCCATTCCTGGAGAGCCATGCTCTGCAGTGATACCACGTCCTCACATAAAAACGGTGGTAAACATGTTGCAGATTACAAAGTCGATGGTAACCGGAGCCATAACTCTCTCTAAGAGCTTTCAGAAGGTGGTAACACATTAGTAACAAGCCTTATCCTTTGCTAGATGCCATAAAAAGGTTTTGTCCAAATCTTAGAGTTACCATTAAAAAAATTGCCTTGCGTCAGTAGTACCACAGTATTCATCCCGTGCGTATCGTAAGATACATAGGTAATCACGCTTTGCATTGGTATGATAAAAGTCTCCCCGTCTGACCAGCGCGGTATAGTAGGTCAAAAACTTTCTAAGGGTAGGCCTATGTCCAGCTGAGGACTATTAAAGGCTGTTGATGTTGATATGCATTCCACGTAACTGTGAATTGTCAACACGGATATAAAAATATTTAATATATATTTACTGTTAGTGTTATCCTCGTGGCCTCAATAATTATCATGATTTAGATGAACTTATCAACTTATCTATAGGGCAGTTGTATTACTCGAAACGTGTATAGACAGTGTCGGAGACATGCCGTATTAAATGGAAGAACCTTGTTGATAATATGTTTGATAATGCTTTTTTGTTTTTATATACTTATACGGATGTTCCAGTTTTACAATTTGTTCGTTATTCACAACGTAGTGAACGTTGCATAAAACGTTTGTTTTATTCCTCTCAGCCTTGATGCTGTCACCGGCCTCAGCCCAAGATTGATAGAGCTAAAATAGTCTTATGCAAGTTATGCTACGGTGTTTAGTCGCTAGTTTACGCCTTGTCTCCAAACGCCTTAATTGATAAAATAATATTTAGAATTATATTTAGTGACTAACACGCACTGTTGATAAAAATTTACAAAAGAAAACAATTTGATAAAAACTGAAACGAACCAATTTCCTTACCGATACATATAAAGTGCTGTGATTTTTCCCCGTAGGACATAATGGAGGCAGATGGTAGGGCGAAATGGCTTCATATCAATGTTTCGCGAGCTTTTTAATGTTCAACAAACACGTAATAATGGGCTGCAAAACGCGCAGCTTATGTAAACCTTTACGTTTACATTCACGCAGTACTCTCAGAAATGATTTATTGAGTTAATGATATATTATCATGCGTTGCTTAACAGAATATAAACGAAGAGCCTTTAGGCCCTAAAATGGCGTTCATACTTTTATCTGGTATTTTGTCCCAAGCTCAGCAAAATTTCTCAATGAAAATTCCAAACAGTGATCATTGTGCGATGAAGTAAATATGAGTAGATTGATTGAAGTGTTATTTTTAAACATTATTATGCAGTTTTATGGTTCATACTTCGTTTTTATAGAAAGCATGAATAACAAAAGTTTAGTCACTAAAATTATAAGCTATTTTTTTAGAAGACGAAAATTCATTGACATTAACATAACAAAATTTATACTAACCATTTTATTTTTATATCTGTTTTATGTCTGAGTTAAATAGCTTGTTTATTGTAATGGAAAGCTTTTATAGAATCTCGTTGTGCCTCGTGGAAGCGAAATAGTAACATTATCATTAAACGCGACTAAACCTGGGGGAGAGACTCAGTTTAAAAATAAATACTAAATTATCTCTCAATATAGATGAAATTCTACTTAAAAATTTGCTCATATAAGATAGACACCGGACTTCGCACCCTCGTGGTGATTTCATGATAGATACCAACAATTAAATATATGTTTGCGTATGATAAAAATATCAATAATTCGTTATGTCGTTATTTTAAATGATATGATCCGTATTCTATTGTGGAAGTTAAACTAATATTAATAGACATTACATCATTTATGGATTCAATTTGCAATCATTAGTACTCAGATTAGAGCTGTGACCAAATGAACAAAGACTAGAGAGGTGTGTCTAGACGTGATTTTACTCAGTTTGCACTAAGTCGAATACTTTACCGCCGTTATCGCTCGAAAATGGGTT